TCTGTTTCACCACTAGTGATTCCTCACCCCTCTGTTGGACACTTTTTAACCCCCAGTAGCTTTTTGGAAGGATGTGGTGACTCGTATTTCCTCTTCTATCACTGTCTTTATCTGCCTGCTTCATCCTCTAGAATAGGAGGGCGGCAGTGTGATACTGCTGCTGGGTTAGGATGGTTCATGGGGGTATGTTCACAGTGAGGAAAAAATCCCATTTCACAGCCTGTTCACTTAGCCACTTCAACTCCTCCTGCTTCTTTAGCTTCTCTGTAGAATATGTTTGGCCTTTAATTGTTCTCTTTCTCTTTCCTGCTACAGTTTAAAAAGAAAACATATGCAGGTTGATAGTGGTGGGGCATCCCAGGAGGCACTGAAAATCTGGATTTCAAAATTTCTCTTTTTCCCAGTCATTCACATTCTTGCTCTCATGTCTTTGTTTACAGAATGTGCCACTGCAGTTGTACCTCCAACTAAATGATTGGTAAGAGGACTGTTTTTTTTCTCTGAGGATTTATTGCTCTTTGACCTGTGAATTCTAGAACAGAGTATCCTTTATTTAGGTACAAAGAATGCCCAAGAGTAGGGGCGAAATATGGCAATAGTTAAGTCACCATTAGAGTCACCACAACAGATCAAAGTTAAATGTCCTTGGGGCAAGACAGTCATGCCAACATGGGAAGAAAAAAAAATTGTAAGAATTTCAAACAGTGAGGAACTTAGTCACCGAATGTCCTTTGCATCAAACAACCAAAGACTGGGATTGGAGCCTCCTGCTTCAAAAGGAACACAGAAGCTGGAAGAAGGCAGAGGGAAAAGGGGATTGTAAATAAGCAAAACATGCAGAGTCCATAGAATACCCAAACCACACAAGATTCTTAAGAAAACAGATTTGTGACTCTGATGTTGTCAGTAGAATGAAGCACTAGCTAGGGAAGATGAAATGTTACACTGTAAAATAATGAGACAGACAATAAATGAACCAAGATTATTTGAATATCTCTTTCATTGTACTGTTCCTGTACAAGTCTGTGGTACAAATCCCCATGAAAGACTTTGTTAAGGAGCAAGTCACCCTTAGCTCAGAAATTATGTGAGGCAGAAGTAGAAAGGATTCAGCTTACAAAACTACTGAAAGACACAAAGAGGCCTTTTTTCTTTTTTTTTTTTTTTAATATTTTTTATCCTTAGCTGGCAGTAAAACTTACATGGAAACATCAGAAAATGAAGAGAAAAATGTAGAATCAAAGCAGTTGATTTCTTTGAAACAGGAAGCTGCATTTCTGTCTTTCTGAACAAGTGAATCATGGCATTTTTATTATATTTAGTAGATTGCAGTTGCTGAAAATAGATCTATATTCACTTTAAACACTAATCCTGTGCCTCTGGATTTATTTATGTTTCAGCACAGAAAAACTAGATGTGCGCTTCGGTTATGATCTGTGCCGAGAAGAGCAAGAATTCTTGCAAAAAAGGAAGAGAGTGGTTGCCAGTGCCCTAAAAAGGGTTCTTCATCTGGAAAGAGATCTACATGGACACGAGGTCTGTGAGTTGGAGCCCAAGCATGGGGGGTGGGTCTATTGAATTAGGATTGGTGCAACTCCCCACAAAATTTCTAGTAGTTTTTGCCTGTTGATGACAAACACATCAATTTGTATGGCAGCAGAACAGAAGTTCTCAGTGTGGCATACCTCATACTCATCTAAAATTTCGGCTCAGCTATTCATGCCTCCATGAACAGAGACACGTTCATGCCTCCATTCTTTTCAATGGATCAAATTTCCAACAACATAATATACCACTCTTCAAAGCCAGAGTTTCCAGCAGTGTGATGCAGTGGGTCAGCAAGAAATGAGGCATTGGTACTTTGTGTTAGACACAGCCTAGCCAGACAGCCCAAACCAAGTACGAAAACAGGAGTATTTGAAATTCACCTCACGTAAATATTTATGAAATCATTGCAATGACTCTTAGTTAGTCTCAACTTTTTTTTTTTCCATTTTCAGAACACTTTTCACAAAAAGTCAAAATTATTTAGGGTGAAGAAAGAACATTTTATAACAAGCTCCAGCTGAAGTATGTTTCGTTGGCAAGATCCAGGGTGAATTTTTGTGTGAACATTTATTTTCATGCTGGAATTGTATTTGTTGGATGAATGCTGTCCAAAGAATCATTTTGTTTGCTTAATGTGTTTTTTCTGAACTCTGCTCAGGACTTCCTTGAATCCATTCTTAATTACATTTATTGCAACTTTTGTTATTTACAATAAAATTGTATCATTATCTGTTATTAATCATTGCAATTCCAATTATAAAGAACATGGGGAGGAAGGAAGGTTAAAATTACTGCATATTCAAATTCATACAAGCTTCAGGGTTAAGGGAACCGACTGACTATCTGGAGGTTAATTTAAAGAAGATAGTGGTAAATTCTGACTGAATGTTGATTTAATTTCATTGTCCTCCAATGAAATCTGCTGAGGAAATTATGAGAGTTGTAATTAGACTTTTCCAAGTAGGCAAGTGAGTAACTTTTTGAAGATAATACTTATGTTTTGAACAGGTCCCAGTAATAGCTGTTATGGCAACGGGCGGAGGCCTCAGAGCAATGTCAGCTATGTTTGGCCACCTCTTAGCTCTTCAGAAGCTAAATCTGTTGGACTGTGTTACCTATGTCACCGGGGCTTCTGGCTCGACATGGTGCGTATAGAAAATCAGATTTGTATTTGGAATACCTGTGACACTACATTTCCACACAGTGAGAGACATGCATCTCTTTCGGGGTCTTACGTTGTTAATAAGTGAGTGTAATTCCCTGGTAAAGCTCTTACTGTTGGCTCTCGATCATTAACTTCAATTTAGGCTCGCTTATTCTCTTCTTTGATGAAAGTGGCTAGGCAAATATAGTAATTTTTGAGAAACGATCCAAATAAATGGATGATTTTCTCACATTTCTATTCTTTAGGACCCTAGCAGACCTGTATGAGCATGCCGACTGGTCACAGAAGAGTCTGGAGGGGCCGCTTAAGGCAGTAAAAGAACAAGTGACAAAATGCAAGCTCAACCTTATGTCTATAGACCATCTGAAGTATTATCACAAGGAACTCGCTGAAAGGGCAAAAGCAGGACACGTGTCATCCTTTACAACTCTGTGGTCACTTGTTCAGGAAATGTTCTTACATGAACAGGTATGTACATGATCCTGCCACGCATTTGGGAAGCATCCACTCATTTTCTTGTGAGGTTTACTCTTTGAGGGCATGACGTAATGTGTGGAACAAATCCACAGTGACTCAGGCATCCCCGTGTGATTTGTAAGCATGACAGAGGATCTTGTAGCCAGGGTTTTCCAGGGTAGTTAATGGTTTGAAGGTGCCTCTGCACCAGGGTGCCCAACAACTAGCAACTTCAGTAGGTAAACTTTCAGAAAGAACTGAGCAATCCCCCCTGAAAAGTCAGGTTTTTTAAAGTCTGTTTCTAGTTGCACACTTGAGAGCTAGAGTAGTCTGTCCTCATGTGAACATTAACCTCAACCATAGCAAATATCTGTGGGATGCAGGCAGCCAAGGCACTTAGGTATTAATGAAGGGTTTACTAGGTATCAAAAAGACAACCATGAAAGAAAGTGCAGGAACATGAAGGAAGAGGTGTCTTACAAAGATGTGACTCACAGATTCCTCTGGGTTGTAAAACATCTGTTGTTTATCTTTACTCAGATAGATTGTGTCAGTGGTTTTGCCTTGTGCTCTTCCAGAGGTTTACTGTGATTTTTTTTAATCTCTGATTAGCCAAGAAAGTACAAACTCACAGACCAGCGCAAGGCATTGGAGCATGGACAAAACCCATTGCCTTTCTATGCAGTCCTCAATGTGAAAGAGGAAAAGTTCAGTACTTTCAAATTTAGGGGTAAGTATTTCTAGAGTTTCTTCTGTCTGAATAGGGACTAAAGAGAATTTGGAGGGAGGGTGCATATGCGTGGCAAATAAAAGGGGGATACATCTGTTGCTTGCTCTGACTCAGTGATCCTCTTTTATTAAAATACTTGTCTTTTTTGGGAACTGGTGGGTGTTAATTAGAATCTGGGCTAAAGTTCTAATTTGTGATTATTCTACTTCAATAGCTGAAGAGGACAGCTTGAGTCAGGAAGTGGCCATGTCCACACTGTGATACTGTCTGGTTTGGAGCTGATGTGTCTTCAGGCTTCTTTGTTATATTGTGTAGACTGACGGGTTTGGGGTAGTAGAGGTTTCATCCCAGTCATTCTTTGAAGGTTGGATCATACTTCTAGGTTGTACATTTGATGCTCTTGATTTAGAGACACAAGTGGAATTCCAGAATCTTTATATGGAAATATAAATCTAAGCTTTTGAAGCTAACATTAGGCTCTTTCTGAGGTGAAAAATGCAGTTCCTTTTCTGTGCAAATCATGTCTGTTTGTATGGAACTGAGAGTTTGCCATACAAAGCTACTGGTAGTAGAGAGCTGCTGAGAGAAGCAAGATCCCTGGAGCTTGTGGATAGCGTTATGCACAGAGAAAAGTTTTGTTTTCATATTTTTATTACAGTAAACGTGCCATGTGTCATTCTTTTGTAGAGTGGGCAGAGTTCTCTCCTTATGAGGTGGCCATACCAAAGTACGGAGCCTCCATTCGTTCAGAATATTTTGACAGTGAGTTCTTCATGGGAAGGCGGGTGAAGAAGCTGCCAGAATCTCGGATCTGCTATCTGGAAGGTGACCTACCAGTGCATTATAATTAATCACAACATGGCAGAAAGCATAGTACTAGCTAAGCCACTGATCTATGTACAAGACTTCTTGCCAACAGCTCTGCTCTAGGTCTTGATTCAATGGTCCTTTTACGCCTGTTGTATACTTCTGCTCTTTGTAAAGCTTCTTCCCTCCTGCCCTCCCTCTTAACATGGGCAGATTTGGGAAAGTTGCAGCATGGTTCCCCTTCCCATTTTCTGAACCAAACGAGAAGTTGGAGAAGGCCAATTGAGGAAATAATAATAAGCCTTTCTTCCCTGACCAGTCGTCAACTCTTCAACTTCATCAGCTGTATTTCTAGGCAACACATTTCTGGGGTAGAATTGTAAGGAGCTGAAAATAAGATATAACTCACCTAGAACAACCCACAAAGGTGAGAAACATCTGAGCTTTGCGGGTTGAGAATGGTGTCACAAATCTTCCTTGCCCATAAGGATGAAGGAAGCCCTTTTAACATCAACAACTGCTCTGACTGGCTATTCTGCCTCTAAAGGCAATGAAAAGAGGAAAGGCAGATTAGTCAGAGGAATCCATCTGCCCCAGGCAGATTTTAAATCCTTGTCAGAAATTTTAGCTTTTTTAAACCGAAACCAAGGGTCCAGTGGAGACAAAAATCACATTTCTTTCACGTTGAAATCTGCTAGAGATTGAATTTGTTCCTCATGTGAGTACCTCGCATGGGGCTTAATGACAAAGGATAGTTCTTTCTTTTCCAAAAGCAGACTCACATATGGAGCCAATTCTATTTTGATCCTGGGCCAGTTGAACTCCACAAAAACAAAATGTGTCTGAAAAGGAAAGATGGGTCTCAGATCAATTTAAAGAAAATAAAGTTAAATGCTTATGTGGCTTCACCATGCTTTCAAAGCCTTCTTTCTTTCACAAGTACACAGTAAACACTCTAAAACATCATTTGAAAAACGACACCTCTTATTTTGTTACTCTACTATACAGAGAAATGTCTGTGAGTAGTTATCTCTTGAGAAAGAGGGCTGAAGTGCTGACAATATTGGGTTTGAACTCTGTGAGAACTACTGCTTACGCTTTGTCATGACAGGGTCAGTTCACGTGGGCCAGTAATACGTAGCATGTGTATTCGTAATAGTCCGTGGTTAACATGTGGTGGTGCAGTATTTCTCCCATGTGGTTTGATTTGCAGGTCTTTGGACAAACATCTTTACCAGGAATTTGCTGGATGGGTTGTATTGGTCCTCAAATTCAAATGAATTCTGGGAACGGTGGGCCAAAGATATGGTAGATATAGGTAAGAGTTTCAAAATCAGTATTTGGTTTTGACCAGACAGTGCTTCCTATTCAGGAGAGGATTAAGAAGGATGATACACTATGGCTACTCTTTGTAAACAGTCTCTTGCATGTTCTCCCTAAATTGCTGCATGTTGTGTTGCCTCACTGTGTATCTTCCAGCATGATATCTTCACCTGTATCAGAATGAGCACTGTGTGATGTTTTATTTTTTAGTTTATTTTGGTTTATTTTTTAACACAGAGGCTCACTTCATGCTAGTTACAAATTCGTTTAGAATTTCCTCATGGTCTGTTACATGACTCCTTCCCTGACTGCAAATGAGAAGGGTGGCTTTGACTTGCAAAAGTACAAAGCCAGTGTGTCATTTGAAAGAGTAAAAGACAAAAGCTGTGCTTGCTTTAAAAGAACACAAATATCTCTTTGTTTAAATTGGTTTGGTCATGTGCATATGTTTTCAAGCAGACTGCAAGGAACGGGAGGGAGGGAACCCACAGGAAGACAGCAATGGCGACTAACCAGTAAAGGTGCCCGACAAAACAGACTGCTGATGTTTTTTCTCATAGTTCTTTCTCTATTTCAGAAAAACATTCCCCTGAGGATGATGTCACTGTCATCGAACCTCCGTCTTGTTTGTCAGGGAAGTTGTATGAAATGTTTCAGGACATTATGACCAAGCGTCCACTACTGGGAAAGTCTCATAACTTCCTGAGAGGCTTAGAATTTCATAAGGATTATATCCATCAGAAAAAATTTATTGACTGGAAAGGTAACTGCAACAAAGAGTTAGCTGCAGTGTGCAGGTAACATCTCAGATATTTTTTTTTTTTAGACTTTGGAGATCTCACATTTAGAGATGTTTTACCAGGGTTTGAAAATCTGCTGAAATGGAATTGTGTTCATGGTGTCTGTTTCTTTAGGGTAACAGGTTAAAAAGAACTAGTCCGTGGGCCACTCTCTCACCTCCTGAAGATATCTGTATTTTGTGTCAAAGCATGCTCTTCTGCGGGAATTTTGTCACTCTGCATCGGTACAGTAGCCAAAAGATTCAGAAAGAGTAGACTTTCAGGTCAAGAAACAAAAATAACACTGGAAGCATAAAATAGCAGCTTATTATGTGGATCAGGTGAAGGAAAGGACTGGCTGGAAGCAGGTGGCTGCCCAAATGTGTGGTATTTCTACTTGATGATTTATCCATCCAGGGACCTCTCTTTAACCCTTCAGAAACAGAAATACCGAGATCCAACAACAGAAAGTTAAAGCCACATGGGTTTATACTGCATATATTAAACAAACAGAATGCGTAGACTTGATGTATAAATTGAACAGCAATTTTCTATGTCCTGTGCTCTGCAGGCAGGCAAAGTAAACAGTCACAATACTTTTACCTCAAAATCTCTGAAACCGTCTGTGAAATGATAGCAAGGTGATGCAGCTGAGGGATTGTGCCTCACAAACCTTCCCGTAGACCCAGCGTCCTCATTTATTCCATGAGCAGGTAGAAGTATGGGAAAATCCCACATTATTAAGTTTAATCTGACTTCAGCAAGAAAACACATGTTCTTTGCCTTCTCTGAATCCTCTTTGGCAACTTTCGTATTCTTTTCCCTGTTTCATGCAAGTTACAACACTTTTTGTCCCTGGCTATCATTGCTGCATGGTTTGCTGACAATGGCAGGAGGTGGTGGAGCTTTTTTGTGGATTAAAGCTGAAACCACAGTGTGCTAAGTGCTTTCAAAATGTTCATTAAGCAAAATGTCCCTATCCTAAAAGAGTCTGCTCTAGGAAAACATGTGAGAGAAGGAGAAAACAAGTAGCATAAGAAGGGTGGGTGAGAGAAAGTGAAGCAAGTAGCTTAAAAAGGTGGATGAAAGATAAAATTGTCAGTCGGTAAATGTTAAAAACAATATTTTCCTTACATTTGCTGACTAGCATTTTTGTAAAGGCAAATGGGTAGAAGCAGCTTTCAAAAACGATTTGGAGGAAGAGATCATAAGAACACTAAAAATGACCTTGGTGTACATATTCTACGAATAAAGTAAAATAAATGGAAAGCTTGAAAGTCTGGAGTGGTAATAGGGAAAGTCTGGAATGGGAAAAATTAGCAGATTTTGTATCCTCTTTTGGCTGCCTGCAGGAGACTAAGCTAAGCCCAGGTATGGATCCATCTCTAGGTGCAAGAGGAGATGCCAGCTCTGAGCAGAAATGTTAGTCTGGTGGTAGGTGAAGTCTCCAGAACGTAGCTGTGTATTAAAGGCTTCCCTGCAGCTTAGAAACAGGCTATCTGACACATTAAAACTTTAAATGCCATGTGAAAATCCAATTTTCATGGTGAGAAATTTGAGAACTCATAGCCTGGAATGAGCATAATGCATTTACAGTAGGGTTCATGCTTTCAAGGGAATTCCTATACAGGGCTTCTATAAAGACCCTTTTTGTCTGTGAGATGGCTGTGAGACACTCCCAAGGAAATGCCTACTTCTAATTCACATATCCAGCCATGAATAAATGCTGCACAGTTCCATCTCTGGGATAAGAAAATGGGGGTAATGGAATTTCAACTAAAAATACTCACCAGGCTAAATAAAACTAAAAGTACGCTCTGTTTCTTCTGTGAGGGGCTGCAAGCAAATGTCTCTCATTGCAGCAGAATCTGTGAATTCCCAGCAGCCATGAATGCTAAAATAAGCAAATAATTTTGTAAAGACCTAACAGTGAGGGAATGGAAAAGGTATGAGTTATTACTTCAAGATGCCGTCTAACATTCCAGGCTACGGCACAAGCTGGAGTTACTCTGTGCGGTTTAAAGCAACGCTACAGAGTGGGGCCACGGGGGCAGAGAGACCGAAAGGAGTGAAATGCTGGAACTTACCTGCAGTATCAACAGTGTCTTAAAATGCATAAGCACAAATGATTTAAAGCTCAAGGGTTCTTCTCTGGGCCTTGCTGCCTCGTTTTGTGAACTTGAGGAGCGCTCTTAAACCACTGTTTTGATATTTAAAACCATGGCACAATGTTTCTTACTCCATGGGACTAGAAATGGTACCAGGGGAACAATAGTGGACTTGCTGTCTATGGGGCAGGCTGGTTGCTAGCAGAGAAATAAGAGTCTTCCTATCTGAAACTGGCTTTAGATCTCAACTTGCCAGTTGGTGTAATCCCTTTTTGGCTCCTTTTGGCGTTAATGTGAGGATAAGTTAAAATATTCAAGCAATATTTTAAGGTATTGGTAGGGGATGCTGTCTGCATGATTTGAATTTTTTTTTTTTTCTGCAGCATGGTTAAGATAATTTATAGGCGAAATCACTGAAAGCAGGTTGAAGTCAGATTTTTTACCCTGTGAGAGGAGTCTAATCCTGAGAACGTTAAAGCCAAAAAAAGAGCGATGCAGAAGTGCAGTGATGTACTGCATTTGTTAGTTTTGTTGCTACACTGTGAAATTGTTTTTGTTGTTTGCATTTTTCCCAGTTCTTAGGGGAAAAAAAAAATCGGCTAAAATCTGTATTCTGTGAAAAACCACTCCCCAGAGCAGCTGTGAGGCCAGTGGAGCCTGTGCCTTCCCTGTCCTCTGCCTGGCTGTCTCACGGCCTGCCTGCGTGCGCGTGCCGGGGGAGTGTGCTAACAGGCCAGATGGGCTCAGACGCGCAGTTCGGAGGGCGTGCTCCTCAGGCCACGTCCGTGGGCTCGCGTTGTGGAGGGAGGTGAGCTTGGTCTTGAGGGCACCCGAGGGGCTGCCCTTCACGTGTAGCACAGACAGAATTACTGAGTCCTCCTTTCCTACCAATGCACCACTGATTGTATTCAAAATGTTTTTCAGACACCGTGCTGGACTGTTTCCCTAACAATCTGACACCGCTGCAGAAATATCTTTGCCTGATAGATGTTGGCTATTTCATCAACACCAGTGGTGCAGCACTTTTCAAGCCAGAGAGGAATGTAGATGTCATTATCTCACTCGATTATGGTCTGGGGAATGTGTTCAAGGTGAGAAGATTAACATGCTGTGCTCCTTGCAGCCCTGGTAAAACTCTTCTTGTGTTATTAAAACCTTTAAGTAAGTGGCTGTCTAAGTCTTTGTTATATATTTAAGAGCAAACCAGCCACCAAATCTTGGAGGAGGAAAGAATCTTCCTTCAAGACCAGAACTATAGAAACTGCTAGGCCCTTTATTATGTAGTGGATTGCAGCATATACTTTCTAGAATCCTCAGGGAATTGCAGTAACAATTGGTTGCTGGAGACATGACCTTGATCTCTCCTGGTCTATCCTCATGACAAATTCTAAGTGTGGCTTTTGGTCATTCTCTTTCGCTGTAAAAAAAGAACATTTCAAGGGGATAAGAAGCATCTTCTGACTTGTGGTGAGTGGTGGCAGAAAGTAGGGTTATACTGTGGGACTACACATCGTTTGCAGAGTGATTCTAGGGACTGAATTAAGGTGCCATAGTATTTCTGTGATGCCTCAGTAAACCTGATTCTTGTCTTAGTGTTAGCTTTAAGGCAATGACATTCTGTGTCCACAGCAATTAGAAATGACATACAAATATTGCAAGATACAAAAAATCCCTTTCCCCAAAGTGGAGCTCAGTAAAGAAGAAGAGAAGAACCCGAAGGAATGTTACGTGTTTTCAGATGCAGAGGACCCCAGAGCACCCATAGTAATCCATTTTCCCCTGGTGAATGACACCTTTAAGGAATTCAAGGAACCTGGTAAGTTTGGTCAACAAGACTATACTTTCTGGTTGAGTTTGGGCCATTTGTCTTTCCACAGCATGGATCTTATTTGTCTTTTGTAGCAATAATTTTAAGTGAGGGCACAGCTTTTGCGGGAGTGAGACCATCCTGGTCTCGTACCCATCATGGTCATGCAGGCCAAGTTTTAGGGTACTGCATCCAGATCAAAGTATGTGAGTTTCCACCATGGCAGAGGAGAAGGAGATGTCAGCTCTTTTCCTGTTAACATAGTCAGGTTAACCTCACCAAAACCAGGACTGTGTTCCCCATATACAGAGTGAAACTGGATCTCATCCAGTAAATCATGGTGTGACTGAGATAGCCGCGGCAGGTCCATCTCTGTTGATTAGCCTCCATCCCGCTTCCTGCTCAAGAGGCAGGTTAGCAAACCTCAGCAGGCTCAGTGATGTTGAGTCAGACATGGGGACGAAACAAGGCTTTAAGCCACAACTCACACGGCAAGGCATACTGGAGAAGGCAGCACTTGCACTGGTACGATGTTGGGGAAACACAGGACCAGAATTCTTCCTCAGTCTCGAAGGGACGGAGAACTGCTTCTTCCCTCACCTTCCCCCTGTCAGTTTAAGACCTAGCAGTAAGCAAGAAGGCTGGGCACTGGTTGCTTCTCCGAAATTCTCCTGGCTTTGTGCCAGCCACCACCTAGATGGAGAGAATTAGCAAGTCTCTCCAGCTGTAATAAGGATTATGTTTGTGGCCTGAGAATCAGAGCAGAAGGAATGGGCACGTCTGCTAACAGCTGGGTCAAGTAATTCTGTTGTGAACCTGTTCAGAAAACATAAATAGTAGGAGGTGGAGGGGATTTGATGTCTAGTTGGCATAAGGAGCATAGAAGTTACTGATCGTCCTACCCTCATTATGTGGTGTTGGTATAAGCACTGTGGGAGGAGGAGGTTACTCCCTTTACTGAAAGACAGTGAATAGAAAAAGCTGCCAGAAAAGCTCTGCTAGGGAGGGGAAAAGCAGGGAAAGATCACAGAGAAGGGCCTTGTCCTGCGCTTGTTAAAGAGCTTTGCACAGGCGTTTGGCAGCCCCGTGCAGATGATTAACAGACAGCAAGACCCTGAGTTTCCCAGATAACATTGCTCACATACTTTCTCCCTTTCCCCAGGGAATTCAACAACAGACATGGCTTTGCTACGGGGACAGTTGCAGTTGGGTGGGTTCTGTGTGGAGGCCCAGCAGGCCTGGGGCAGTGGGGTGTTGTCTTTGCAGGCACAAGCAGCAAAGGCCGTGTTAGAACAAGAGAGCCTCAGTACAGACTAGGTTTTCCGAACAGCTTATGGGATGCCCTGCAAAAATCACATGGGCGGTATCTTCTTGGTGCCTCTGCTCCCTGACAGGCAGAGACTTTCCTCTGTGCTGGAGCTGGAGACCTTAACCTGAGGCTTTCTTGTGTGCTGGAGCTCCTACAGCCACGATCCCTAAAATACCTCACACACCACCTTATGAGTGATCAGGCCGTGGGGAACGTCTGCTCTCCCTCGCTACTGCTCAACGTGGCAGACAGAGCATCCCCTCTCCTTCCAGCTTTATCCAAAATTATATTGTGGTACTGGGACCAGAGCGAAACGGATGTCTCTGAGGGACCTTTTGAGGAAGGTTACGAACAGCAGCAAAACAGGTTAAAATAAAGTTCCTTTTCTGCTCTGTTGTTCACCAACACTCAGATAATGTGTGCACTAAGAGATACGGGAATAAAATCACAATTAAACACTAGATGAGCAGGGGAGATACCCAGTAGAGGGAACTAGGCTTGTTAGGTAAAGGCTGGAGATGGTCCAAATGGCAGTGTGCAGTGAGATCCAGCCACTGAGCAGTGCCCAGGAGGTGGGACAGGTGAGTGGTTTAGAGTCTCTCTGAATGAAAAATGGATGAGATTATGCAGAGCAAAGCAGCTGCTGTAGCTTATCAGTGCTACGGGCCCAAATTCGTGAGCTGTGACGCTCACCTGCCTGTCTCTGAGCGGCCGGTGATTCATCGATGGAGCTGACAGCCAGCAACTGATGTGGGTGGCTGGGGGAGGAGAGACCTTGGCAACCTGCCTGCAAGGATTTCAAGTTTAACAGTGAAGCTTTTCATTTCTAGATGGCTGAGAGACATCTTGTGGAATGCGAGTACTTATTTTTCTTGCTTTTAACTATTTAAATTCTAGAAAAGAGAATCAGATTGTGAAGTGGCAATTTACAATAGAACTATAGGCTCTGTCCCTGTGTGCTTGAGGCAGATGCAGCTGTGTCTGGATGTGGATAGCACAGATAATATGGCTCTCGGAATGTTGCAAAGGTCAAGGAAGCAAAACCTGGGCATTTTTAACACAGCCACTTCTACTGACAGCCTGTGCCCAGCACCCTGAGATCACACTGCCCAGAAACCAGTAGGTTAGACTAAAACCTGCTATGTCTCAGGCAAAATTCATGTGTCATTTCCATGCGGTCCTGGTAGACATCATAAGGAGTAAGTTAGCAGTCTGTTTGTAGCCCTGCTGACAGTCATCTCACCACACACCTGTCGTTTGCACCTATTTGGTTCAGACTGGAAGGAGATAGGTAGAAAACAGAGAAAAAAAGGTAACTCTCAACATTTTGTAGGAGCATAAGTATGAGGCTGTTGAAGGTAACTAAGGTGTCCTTTTCAGCAAACGATTGACCTAACAGGGAAGATGGCTGTTGGCAGTTACAAGAGGCTGAGTTAACCCGTGGCTGATGTAGGGTGCTCTGGTCCCTCCGCACCTTTGCACTCTGCAGCAGGCAATCCTGCCTGGTCAGCATTACAAGGCCTCTTGTGTGTACTTGCAGAGGTTTTTCCACCCCCTCTAGCTGGCAGATACACTGTCATCACTGCTAATCCAGGTCTGATCATGGATTTTGAAAGGTATTCCAGGTGTGTGGCTTGTCTGAGTGTCAGACTCCTAAGGTTTGGGAAAGGATGTTGACCCAGGGACATGCTGCCCAGCAATGACTGTATGCAGGGGCAGGATGAGGAGGAAAGTAATGATTCCTGCCAGCCCTGCTGAGGGATTTCCAAGTCTGAGTTTTAGCAGGTGGGGGAATAAGGAGCAGCTGGGAAAGCTGATCAGGAATTGCTCTTTCAACTTATGGGGGGGTGAAGTCTTTCCTGGAGGCTGTGTTTTACAGAGGGTTCTGCCAAGTAGATCACTCCCGTCCAACACCACATGTTCCGTGCTCCAGATTCAGCTCATGGGGATGGCTTTTGTCTTTCTCTGCAGGTGTAAAGCGTGGTCTCTCAGAGATGGAAGAAGGCAAAGTGAATCTGGAGAACAGCTGCTCACCCTATTACCTCATTAGGCTAATCTACTCCTCTGAAAATTTTGACAAACTTGTGAACCTCAGCAAATACAACATCCTCAATAACAAAGACCTGCTCCTCCAGGCAATCCGGAGTGCCGTAGAAAGGAGGAGAACTGGCAGGATGGGGAATCTCCCTGGCCACTCTGGAGCTGGATACCCCTAGGCTGGGTTTTTGCACTGTTCCCCACTGAAGGCTACAACAGTCACATTACAGCACATCACAGCCACATCACAGCATGCCACAGTCACATTACAACACATCACAGTGTTCATTATTTGCAGGAAACTGAGGAAAACCGTACATTTCTCATCTTGCCGTGTTCAAATTCCTAGCTTTCAAAAGGGTTTATTTAATCTCCTTCCCCCAGATTTTTGGACCATGGGAGCCTCACACTGTGGTCTTACTTGTTAAGAAATTAGGATCCTGGTTAGCAGAGAACTTCCAGGATCTCCCCGATGTTATAGAATATGGTGGTGGTGATAGTGATAGTTCTTCATATGCGCCTGTCCCCTCAATCCTGAGCCCATTGTTGGTGTCTTTTCAATGCTTCATTACAAACCAAGTCCTGGCCATTTGCCTTCAGTAATGTCCAGATTTTCAGACAGGCTGAGCAACTAGAATTTGCACTGAATTGGTGGGCTCAGCTTTGAAGTCAGGCCAAAGAGTCATATATATCTGTGAACAACGGCCGAAGTGCAACGTGGACAACTGCATTCTGTCTGGCCGATTCCCCTTGCTGACTTAGAAATTATTCCTTTTTTCCATTCCCCTGCAAGAGTTTGGCACAGAAATGCTGCTCCAGACTGCCATGAGGGGGGCAGTTACATTTCAAGGAGGGAGAACATTAGCTGCAGAGAGCGAGTACGGTTCTTTGGAGCATTGGCTGGAGGAAAAGTTCTGCATAAGGCACGAGTGATTACATTGATTTATACGGGTAGTGCCTTTATGCATTAAATTGTCAAGAGCCTGAAACAAGCTTTTTATACTGGAGACCTGAGGGGAATAATTACCATAAACTCAAGTATATTTAATTTAATAATCATGACCAAGTCATAAGCTGGCACCCCTTATGTATGTAAACTGAATGTGGGATAACGTAACTCACTAGCGGAGTGCGTAGACATTGCAGTTTCACACCCAGAAGATTTTTTCCCCTTTATAGTCTTCTATCCCTAGCATCATAGGCAAGGTATTTTTAATAGGTGCTACACTAAATAAGAGCACAAATAAAAAAAAAAAAGGAAAATCTTTATCACACCTCTTTGCTAGAGGAAAATATTCGGAAAAATGACACCTGGTTTTCATTTGCCTTGGAGTGCGGTGAAAGTCATTGCCATGAACTAGGAGCTTGGAACATCTTTACAGCTCTCTGCTAGATTAAAAAGATGGTAGGGAAGGATGGTGAGCAATACAAAACAAGAGCTCCACAGAAGTCAGAAAGTTTCCAGACTTCATAGCCCCAGAGCATTTGGACCTGCTTCTGGCTTATTTAATCCAACCACAGCATATTCATCGTGACCCTCAAGGAAAATCTCGCACATTTCTTCAGTGTTGGAATTTTACTTGATTATCTATATTATTTTTACTTGAAATCCAAAATAAGAGAGAGAAACAGGGGCCTTGGTATACCTTCTCGGTATACGCAGACAGTATTCAAGCTCAGAGGGAGAGCATTTACAAAAGGTTTCATTGCCAGAACCCTGCATCTACTAAATGCTTCTGCTCCTGCAAGGGGTGAGCTTCAGCAATATTCCTTGTACAGTGCTCATTCACCGAGCTAAGGAATTCCATGCAAAACCCGAGGGGTCTTAACAGCTGGGATGCAACTGTACAACTGGATTCAGACCACGAGGAAATGAGAACTGATTGGACACTGGCTGTGAGGAAAAAATAAAAAGCCATTTTTGAGTTGAGAAGTGAGATGGTGGCAGGGATCTACCTCAGAGGAGCAGCAGGATCTGTTACCTTCACGCAGGAGAGCAGCACGTCCTGACACGGTGCACCGTGGTGCAGGTGTACTCACGTACAAGCACACGCAGCTCTGTGCACCACACGCACGGGGTGTGCATGGTTTTACACGCTCCTCTGGCTGGTCCTGTAAAGCAACCCCTTGCTGTCAGCTGCTTGCACAGGACAAAACCCGATTCCAGCGTGACTGTGGAGAGGCTGGTGCACCCTGATTCACCGGGGCTCCGGCGCTTGGCCCCACAGCCGGGTGGTCCTTGATCCCCTGCTCACCTCGGCCGGGCAGCGGGTGTGGAAGTGATTAACGAGGGAGTGACACCATCATGCTGCCTCGTCCCTGTGCCCTCGCTGCGTTGGTGCGCGTGGGCTGTCAGATTATTGCTCTAATCTTTACAGAGGAGCTGCAAAGGGCTGGGCTGGAGGAGAGGCCTGCCGTCGGAGCAGCTTATGGCAAGTCCCAAGAGTAGCAGGCAACAACAGATTTTTTGCTGCGGTGGTTAGACTCCGTTCAGTGAGGGACGCTGGTGTTCTCCACAACAGACTGGGGTTTCTTTTGGCACTAAACCAGCATCTAATTGAAGCCAGAAGGCTTGGCCCTCAGGAACAGAGATTCAGGGCAGCCCCTGCCGAGGCACAGCAGATTCGTCAGGAACAAGACCACCGATGATGCTGTGTCATTGCCTTTATCATCAATAACACTGTTTTACCTCATTTACCTGATTTTTATGCTCTGCTGCTGCAAGAAGCTATCCCTGTTGTTCATGGGCTACAGTGAGTGATCCGTAACCCTTGTGAACCTGGCAGCACGTGCTAGCAGCGAGGCAGCTCAGCCACGCTGAGAAAATCAGCTCTCTCGCTCTAAAATGCTCCATGCACCAGTAACTGGGTCACGTTTGGTGCATTCGCAGCGCCACTAACTCAAACAGAAATGCCCACTAAAACGTGAACGAGCCAAAAGGTGCACGAGGTTTTCAGGTAGCCCACTGTCAGTGGAGAAGAACTTTTCTGAGGGACTGTTAAACCCTGTTGTTGCGTGAGGGAGGTAGCTGCAGGTAGGAAAGGTGCTGTGACTCTCCCTTTGCCAGGGGAGCTGTCACGCAAGTTTGTTTCAACACTTAAATAGGATGAGGTACTGCTGGTTAATCATGCAGCCAAGAGGGACAGGCAAGCATGTGCCCCTTGGTGGTACCCCTGTAGCCTTAAACAATAACATATTTAAATATATTTTTGCATTTCAGAGTTTGAAATTATGTGAGGGCTGTATCATTGCCCATCCAAGTGTTGTGGTTTTATTTTCTTTGTTGTTTTGATTGTTTCTTTGGTTTTGTAGCATGACATTGAGGGCGTATGTTGCCGGCCGGATGGTATGGTAGGAGGATGTGGAGAGCAAAGGCTGCTGGAGGTCTCTGGGGGTTGCAGGGATGCACCCCTGGCACAGTCATCCATGTTGGGAAGCAGTGGCTGGCACATGCTGTCCCCCAAGGCACACCTGGGCTCTGTTTCAGAGCATGCTAATTTGTGTAGCCCAAAACCCCCCCAATCACAGAGCGTGGTTGCGGTGATGTACGGCTGGTCAGTGGTCTGCGCTCAGGTCTGCTCCTTGTTCCTTGTTTCCTTTTGGGCTGTACACAGAGTCTGAGGGAATGGACCACTGAAATACCCTGTGTTGGTTCCCCAAAGGTGGTGTGTTTGTTCCTTGTCCCCAGTCTTGCACCACACGCTGTCGAATGGCTGTTTGAGCGCGTGAAAGCCACAGCAGGCACTGCGAGGGGAAAGCTGTCTCTGCGTCGCACCATGAAAAGGCACGTGTGACAGGCATGTGGCATGCTTGTAAACTGGGCCTTGCTGTGCCGGCGTTCTGCCTACGCAACCACCGAGGATGAACGCATGTGCGTGAAAGCCTCATCCGAAATGCACCCCAGATCACAGCTGTTGGATGAACATTTTGCTGGAAAACCCCCAGAAATACAGAGCTTGCTATCTGCTGCCAAACACAAAGGGAACAAAAGTTTGTTCTTATAACTGTTAGCTACTCTTTATAGGAATTGCTTGCTCGTGTCTTTTAACCGTTTAATAATATATTAATTAAAAATAAAATATTGCAAAGGAGCACCAGACCCCTGAAAGTCTTTCTGCGCTTGAACACGAGACTGCGTTTGTCCCAGCTGTATTAGCACCACTGATGCTAGGTGCCTGCAGGGCGCTCTGTAGGGCATTTACTGGTTTTGCGAGTGGGTGGAAAAAAATTGGAAGATGTTCTGGTTCACAAAGCATTGAGAGCCTGGAAAAAAAGTGCAACAAACAACAAAATCTACCTCCTGCGGTAAAACCTTCTTCAGTGGAGTGGCACAAGGCAGGTAGGAAGGCAGCTACACCAAGCCGCAGTCGAGGCACAGCTTTATTTTGCCTCTTGGTGATATGATTTAAATGTGTGCAGAAGTCTGTCTTCACTGAACTTTACAGTTATCAATTAAGTGGTGAGTTTAAAACACCTAATTAAAAAAAAAAAAGTTTTTTTGTTTGTAAAAGCAGTTTGAAAGTATCAACAAGAAAGGAAAATGCACCAGTTTCCCAATACTTCCCTTTGCTCTCTGTTTTGTGACAGGCAGCGGCTCCAGGAGAGGTACAGCAGATGGGAGAGCTGGACTAGCCAAAAAAACTGTAGTGATTAGATCACCTGGTGAGGTGCGAGTCACTGATGCAAATCAGTCTGAACACCAGTGTAAAGTCCAGATGTTGCATGCACCCATAAAATACTTACATAAGCCTGGGTTTATGCACTCTCCTACCCTCCCACTAGAAAATTAGTCAAGAGGGGGAAATGACTGCAAGCAAAGGTCAAGAACCATGCTTCTGTGTGGCTAAAAAAGGACTGAGGCTTAAATCCTTGTCAGAGGTGTTGCGAACTCAAAGCCTTAGCTTCCGCTTCTCAGGGAAGAGCCCCCAGCCACTACACTGTCCTGGCTGAAGAGAATGCCGTTTCTCTCAGCTTCGTGCTACGTAACTTTGGCTCAGAAACAGACATAAGTAGGAATAAAAGAAGATATTCTTTGTCATGACTGCACTGTACCTTAACGAGTGGAACCTCAAATCCAATGGTTGCACCAGCAGATAGGTGTTTAAGCAAAAAAAAGGGATAACAGGCCCCAGCGCAGGTGAGCAGGCTCATTGACATGGCGTTTCGGGGGGCACCAGGG